ATTTCTGAGTTTTGATATTTTTCCCAAAATTGGCCACGAGGCGCAGCAAGTTGCGGGACTAGGTGACTTGCACCATATAAAAAATTAAAAAATGTCAGATAGACATTATAACAAAAGGAAAAAAGAAGAAGAACAAGGCTCTGATCGTGGGTAAGTGTTGCTTATCGTAAGAATGGTGGTGGTGGTTATTGCAATCGTTGCCCTCTAGTTTACAATAATTAATTATTTCCTTTTTAAAAATAAACAGTTCTTCAAGAAATAGAGATAATAGATACGAGTAAGTATTATTTAAAAAATGGTGGTTTATTGCCATTGTCATTTCTAATTTGATAATAATTATTTTAAGAGCTTTTCTATATTAAGGATCTGACTTCTTTGTATTTATTTAGAGAATCTGATGAACCTGATTCTCCTACTACTGCTACTAATGTCATTAAATTTTTTTCAAATGCGCATGCTCAAGTTTTATTTACTACAATATTGTTTTTAAATTAAAACTGGTTTATTAGTTAATTTAAAATTTTTTCTTTCAAACAGTTTAATGACCATTTTTTTCAAAGAGCTCTTGAAGAAAATGAAAAAGTAAGAATTTACAAAATTCCTACTTATATAACAGTTGCACACTTTGGAGAATAATAATTAAACCAAACCAAATTTATTTTATAGGAAGACAACACAATAATCTCCAATGAATCATCAACAAAAAAATTAAAATCAAAATTATCACCAGCAACTCCTACAACACCATTAACACCATTAATATCATATTTACCAATAACTTCAATAAAAACTATTGTATGTATTTTATTTTAATTTATTGACATCTTCTTAGTAATAGCCTATGTATATACACTAACTCTAGACATTTTATTCTAGGACAATCTTATAGTAAGTACTTTACCAATGGTTTACCATTCAATTAAAAAAATATTTCTAGGTTTTATTTTTTTTATTTTTTTAGATGCCCAATGCAATTTCCACTTCTTATATTGATGAATTTGATCAAGAAGAATTAACAGACGAAGAATACTTTTTAGGGTATGCATAGAATTCTATCAATAATGGTTTATCATTAATTATTTTTATATGTAAAAAAAAATTTTATTTTTTATTTTTTTGAAATAGCCTTTCAGTTGCTGACATAATAAATTTAAGTGATAAAAAAACATTGGCAGATGATGAAATGGTTGCAAAATTAAAAAAAGAAGCAAATTCTAATCCACCTCCTTGTATAAATTCTGCATACCTTAAAAGATGGTTCAATTCAGTATATGAAGTATGTAGAACTGTAATTTTAATTTATAATCTTGATTTATTCTAATTATTATTTACCTTTTTTCCTTTAGAATGACATAGAAAATTCATTAAAAAAACTAAAAAAAGACTTTGATGTAATTGATGGATTTGATACAAGCGAATCAGATCTTATTAAAGACATCATTAGAATAAAACTTTTGCAATTGAGAGCAGATCATGGCAAAATCAATAAGCATATAGATGAAAATACATATACATCTATATTAATTTCAATGGATTTTGAATTTCTCAGATTGCATTTTCCTGGTTTAATATCCTCAAGCTGGTAGGAAAGCAAAAATGCAATTTGTCAAGAATTTTTATTAAATGTCTTATTAATCTTGCTGGCTTTTCTTAATAGGAATGAGAATGAGGTACCTTCTTCAAAGTGGCGTCGTGAGAAAATATATAATGACAGTGATGCAATGGCTCGCAAAGCAGATGGCATATTGTTTAATTACAATTGTCGTGATCAAGAACTTTTCATTTTTGAAAATATTGGCCCTCCAGAAAAAACAAATAACCCAAAATATTTATCTGACAAGTTGAAGTGTTTTAGAAATTGTGCCGACTCTATTTTCAAAACCTTTTATAATGGAAATGGCAATATTAAATATGCTTCAAAATTCTATGTTTTAGCATATATAGTGTATAGTAAGTTTTAGTTGTGATTTTTCCATTTCATTATACAATGCTGCTGAAATGTTTGATTTACTAATCAAGAACCCTCTCTGAAAAAAAAATTTTTTTATATATAGAGACAAAAGGAGAGCTGTTCAGAGTAAATCTGGCAGCTCCAGAAACTTTTGCTGTAGATAAAATAATGGAGATTGAATATCCATTTGAACATGTCAACATCATTAATATAATAAAAGTTATAGAGCTTGTATTCATGGTAAAGGTAATAAATTTTTATATTAATCAAAATAAATTAGAATTGCTAAGACTAAAAGAATTATCAAAAAGCTTTTTGGATTATGGTGTATATTAAATATTATTCATTTTTTATTTGTAGAAAATTATAGAGTTGAACAATGATACATTTGATATGAACGTTTGATTATCGGAAATTTTACAGACGTTGAAGCACGCACGCTACCTTGAACACTTACAGTCATTCTAACACGTTCCTCTTGTGCACAAGGCTAATCTGACCAGCTCCGTCCGATGATACAATGATGCAACAGAATTCCAGGGGGTTGGCGCGTGGCCCTGGAGTTTACCGAGACTGCATCAATCGTCAAGGATGTTTTCACTAATCTTCCCTCACAGTACCCGGACCAGAGAAGGCTGCTGGCATGTTAGACGGAAAGTCACCTGCAACGATCCTACCTCTAAGTATGGCTCTGTGACCAAGAAGTCGCAATTCTGGAGGAATATTAAGAGAATCTGCAGCTCGTTTCAAGCACGGGAGGTTGCAATTCAGAATGGGATTGGTGACCCTGAAATGCATTTGGGCTCTGATGTTAGTAAAATAAAATGGTTCAGATTTTGTTTGGTATGTTTTGTATAAATTAATCATTCCCAAATTTTCTGTTTCTTTAGTTTTTATTTGATCAACTGAACTTGTTATTGAAATGGGGTAGGGTTGTTGGTGAGTAGACATGCCACTGACAAGACAGCAACCCAGGACTCAAAACTCTGAATTCAAAACAGCAACTTCCAAGTTGCAGGCACCAACTTTACTCTAGTGGAACAGCAATCATTGTACAGCATCAACTCTTTGTCAGCAATTAATGCCCATATGGTAATAACAAGCCTGGTCTGAGGGAAAGATTAGAGAAATTTTTGCCAACCTTATGAAAGCCTTCCAGCATGTGAGGGGTTTCAACTGTGGAAAAAAGTTCCATGGTGCTGAAACGTGTTAAGGCACTCGATTACATGTTTGTGATGGGAAATTTTATTAAATCTGATACCCATTGATTAATATCAGATTTATTATTCATTTTAAGAAACTATACAATGGGAAGGGAAATATTTTTTTTGATCCTCCCTATTTATTTATTCTTGTGAACCCCAGAGATCTGGGTAGACATGCATTATTAAAAGTTTCATTTATGCATGGCTTGGTGTTATTACTACCTGGGTGATGCAATTGTTTGTTATGTCAATGATGATATCAAATGTATTGAATAATCATTGTGATGGATGTGAAGACAAAGGAATTCATATATGAGGAAAGTATTAAATAGCAATATCATGTTTGTTTATTTTATTTTTTATTTTAACCAAGATATATAATTAATTATATCAAAAAATACAAGATAAAAAAATTGCCAGAGTGATTGCATGGAATTCAAGGCTGAAACAATCACAC